TTGAAGAATCTGTTCCTCCTGATTTGTTGCGTTGTTATTTCGTTTTACGTAACTCGTAATTTCTTAATCTTTGCAACGTAGAACGCATGTACAGTTAAAAATATAAAGCAGCAAAGAAAAAGCAGGAGGTATGCAAAAGCGATCCTTTTACAGATCGCTCGACTTCGCTGTCTACTTTTCACCTTTGATAAATCAGGCGGCAAGTATTCGAGTTGTAAGACGGTCTCAGGATCGAAAAAGGACTGGCGACTTTCTCAGTGCCAGCTGCATACTTGTATCATTTATGATTTTATTCTCACCTATAAATATCTAAAATTCGTCGTTTTCTCTGGATCTAGCGATTTTCTTTATCTGAATTTATTAATTTTTTCCTCTTTTCCTCTGAATTGAATTAACTTTTCTTTTCTAATTGGAGATTCGGTGAATTTGAATTGAAGAAACACTTGCCGACATTTTGTTGCTTTTTTCGTCGATGACAGCCGCTGGCCGTGTCAGCTTCCTCCTTCACTTGCAACTCACTGCAACGAACACCTTCCACTTTTCGCTTCATCCTGCAGAAGAAAGACCTCCGCGCGCCGGGGCATAATCTCGATACACCCTGGGGCACGTCCGTTTTCACCGGTAACATCGCTGAAACAATATTAAACAGACTCGAATCACGTATTATTCCTCGCTGCTGGATTCTTCGTTTATCCGATTTGATCGTTTATTTATTCGACGAAGACAAAAGCGTTTAATAAAAAAAAAATGATAAAATATTTTTGATCAAAAAAATATATGTATACGAAGCTGTCTGTTCTCGTCTCTTATTTCCATTCACATTTCGTTCGTATCGGCGTCTCGACGAGTTTTTCGCATAATTTCTCCCCTTGCACGCGTGCATTGTGCGTGTCGCATATTTGCAGTCAAATCGGCCTCGATAAAAAGAGGGAATGCGAGGATGCTTCGAAAACGTGATTCACAAACGTGTACATTAACGAATCAATAGGCGTGTGTATACTGTATCGTTTGTTCATTCTGTCATCATTCAGAACGAATTAAATTACTATTTATTATCGATTTGAATTTCAATTGTTTTCATTAATATGTTCCGCTTGATTTTCCGCCACGAAAATGGACACTTTGCTCCGACGAAAAAAGAAAAAGAAAGAAATATCGACGCATCTTTCTCTCTTTCCGAGAAATTAATCTCGTCATTTAAATGACAAATGTATTATTGTCATATGACTCCGATTATTAGAGTTCACGCTGTTTAAATTCATGTTACTTTGCAATTCGCGCCTTTTAAAATCTAACGATTTATTGCTATTCACCTCAGTATTCCATTTGCATATATGTACATTACAAACTCGAGGCACATAAATCAAAAACATGTCGATACCAAGATACATTGTCGTTTGACATTCACAGTCACAGAAAGCCGTTGCGTCTAGTCCAACATTAAAACTATCGGAGCATAAAATTTACATCAGAAACATTGAAGTTAAAAAAAAAAAAAAAAAAAAAGAAATAGAAAACCTCGTGATTCAACGAAGCACGCGATTATTCATACATTTGCAAAAAATCATTTAAATTTCTAAAAATTTCGCCGTCTCGTATCTGTGAAGTATCTAACAGATTGGTCATTTCGATTACCTTTCTCGATAGTTCTAATGCTAAACATCTATATTGACGAGACGTGAGCCTGTGTCGTACATGCATGTGTGTACGATAAAAAGAACGCGATCCCGGAACGTTGACGTGACGTTAACGCACACTGCTGGCGCATTAATGGCGTGTGCAATCTCTTCTTTAGTCAAGCCGTATTCATCACTTTCCGTAATACATCCCATGCATCGCAATTATGCAATTAATCTTGCAGTGTAGTGATGTATCGCACCGTAACCGACTAATTCCCTTTCGTCTAAGAATCCTCTTATGTAAGTGTTATGGCAATTACGAGCTTCGATCTTTTTTTTCTTTTTTTTTTTGAATCTTCTAAAAATTCACGTTGCTGAAACATCGATCAAACAGAATGTAGTACATAAAGTATTCAATTGTTTTTTAAAACCCTAATTTATCAGATTTATTGTCAAATCTAAAAAAAAACACTGATCAACGTAGTATGATTTACGCGTGTAAAGTGTTTAATTGTTTTTTTTTTTTTTTTTTTACTTAATTCTAATTTATTAATATTGATAACACTGATTAATTCAAAGTGAAATTTACTATTTTATATAAAATATTTAATTCTTTCTCAGTTAATTCTAATTCTTCGTTCAACCATATTCAATTCTTTTTTAGTTAACTCTAATTCAATACTAATTTAATACTCAAATTTAATAATTCAATAATCAAATTGAATGTATGATTTACGTGTACGAAGTATTCAATTTTTTTTTTTTTTTTATTCTAATTGATTTACCAATATTGATCAAACTGAATGTAGTACGATTCGTACGTATAAAGTATTCAATTGCTTTTTTCAGTCGACTCTAATTCATCAATATCGATTAACTCGAATGCAGCACGATTTACATACATTTATATGTGAGATACTCAAGATTAATTATACTATTAATTTCATAATTATATAATAGATTTGTCATAACCAGAGGACAGTGCTTTTTTATATATTTTTTTTCGAATACACAGAGTAACGTTAAAGAACAATTACTGTAAATAAAATGGTCAAAACGATCAATTTATTATATATACTTTCTGTTAGACGTAAAATAATATTGTTTCACAGATTCAAATGACTTCAATTACGCAAAACGTATAAATAAAAACTTGTGTATACTCTATCGTATTGTAGTTTTTTTCGATTTTAATTTCTCTAATGTTTGAAATTTCTGATGGTCGCCATTTCTAAAATTTACTTCATTCGCCTTTACGTACTTCGACATCATAAACAGTCTTGCGACAATTTTACCACAAATTTGTAAGAAGTACCTTACTTTTGAATGCCTAAACATATTTTTTAATTAAACTGAGTCTTGTCACTGAGGCTACCAACGATACATTTGTATCAACACAATGAAGAAACACGCGAATCCAATACTTGAAAGTGACAACCAGATGTACCAGAAAACAGAAACATGCTCCGTCAAGTCAGAAATTAAAAATCGTCCACCTGTAATATTCAGGAATTCCCTGCTCGTTAATAAACGGATCGTCAATTGTCCTTCAATATTATCTTCTTTATTAATTGTCAAGTTAAATTGCAGTGCACGTTCGAAGATAGAAAAGAGGCAAACGACAAATATGACAGCGAGAACTTGCAACATTTTGTTATGAACGAGAAAGAAATTGCAATAGAAACGGTAAGAATGGTAAAAATGGTACAACGTATTCTCGAACAGATACAAAGATGATGATACTAAGTTAGGCTAAAAAAGTAATTGCGTTTTTTTCTAACAGACGGACATGTATGTATATTTTTAAAATGTAACTGACTTCATCTTAAACCATAAATTTATTCTATCAATCTGTCAGATTTCGCTGTACTACTTTCTAAGAAGAAAAGAAGACGCTGTGCAAGCTTATAAAAAATTATTTGATATGTGTGACGAAGAAACCTTCGAACTATGGCAGTAGTAGTAGTACGTCAAAATTGCTTTGCGAAATTTCGAACCTCTGACGAGGATTTTCAAATCGTTTTTGGAACTCTTTTTTGTCGAAAAAGATGAAAACTCTTTTGAACGCGGAATCATGAAATTGCCTGAAAAGATGATCGAACAAAATGGCCAATATATTACCCCTTTCTTGGCGGGATATTTGAAATGATGCCTATAAGAAATATGTAAAACTACTTTCTAATTTATTGCAACTATTATTATAGAAGTTTTATAAATAATTGCATAATTCTATAGTTTTATTTTAACACAATAACAATCGAACCCGATTCAATATGACCGATCTCAGACTTTTTACAAGTGCTTAAAAGATACGGATATACATTGTCAAAATTAATATTGATTTCTGCTTGGACGAATCTATTTATTTTAATCATCATTTAGATTATAATGATTTACATGACTGTTGTTCTACTATTAGTACATATTTTCATTTATTTATTTATCAATCAAAGTCGAGTATTCTCGTTTTCAAAATTCGCCTTTCATTTGCACATGAGAAAACAAAAAAAAAAAAAAAATGCAGTCACTTTCTGGTCCAATCTAACATCCCTAATCGTGAGCAAAAGAGTATACCATCTCGGTATACAAAATGAAGACACGTACGCGTGCACGTCAGCAATCGATCTTAATTCCTCTATTAGGAATCTTTTTGCAAAGTGAAACGAATGGTGGACGCAGGCATGTCGTTCGAGTACAAATCCCGCAATTACCGGGCATTCTTATCGGCGTCACCGTTGCAATGGCGCTTCGACGTTTGATCGATCAGCCGTCAGAAATGTTGGTGAACGTTACCAGAGCGCTCCCCGGATGCGCTTCTCCGCCGGTTTATTAATTCCCCGGCAACAAGTGTCGATGATTAACGACCGTGGGAGTCCTCCGCGCGCGCGGATCGTACCAGCGCGTAACATTCTCGCCGCGGATCCTCAGCATGTAAGCGGCACCGCTTCTTCCATCTCTCCTTTCAACGAGCCTCTTTCGCAAACCTCTTATCTCGCGGCTAATTCGAAGATGTTTATAGGGCACGGTGCGGAATCGTTGACATTTATCGTATTGACGAGCAACGAGCAACATAGATACAGGGTGTACGTTTCTCTGGCGTAACTTTGCCATGGTACAGCATGGGCCAAAAATCACTTCCTATTTCCTATTAAAATAAATCTATAATTTTTTTATTACATATAGTTTTTAATTTTTTTTTATTGCACACAGTTTGTAATTTTTCTTTTAATGATTTTTGAAACTAATAATGAAAAAAGTTTGAACTCTGATTTAATTTAAAATTAATGAGATTAGGTTTCACTTATATTTTTGGCCCACTCTGTGAGAGTCTACGGGTGAAGATAAGGGGGGGGGGGAAATATACAAATGTTGTAAATATATATTCGAAAATTCCGCGTTAAGCAATTATTAATGAAAATTCGGAATAACAGGACTAGTGAACAGTCGCGAATTCGTGCACACTCGCAATTGAAAATGGCGGAAATGGCACATTATCATAGGATTGGAACGATTCGCGACGAAATCGCAATTTTGAGAACAATCACAGAGAAAGTGTTCGGTGAGTTTCTTGTCGACTAGAAATACCCCAAACTACAAAGTGAATAATGGAAAATTATTGTCTTACAAAATTGGAGCCAGAAATTTTAGGAGATATTGTTCGTTCAACGAAATCTGTGGATAGTTAGATGGTTGTCATGCACACTATGCAGTACAAATGCGACAATCAGCGTTATTAAAGATGGATAGATCGAGGAGCACCAATTCATTGGCGCTCCTCCAAGGTCACCAGATGCCATTGCGTGATATTCACTTGCAGACAGTATTAAAAGTTAGTACGCGTGAAGAATTTATTAATGCGTTTAATAAAATGAAAGCAAGTCAACTAGACATTCGAAATGTAATAAATCGAATTTTTGACATACGTCAAGCTCGTGTTCGTAAAAATGGACAAATACTTTGAAATGGAATTGATAAACAGATAAATATTGTCGACTCTTATTTCAAGTTTTCGTTATAGTTCTTTAACGGAGAATTTTTCCTTTCAATTCTTTCTTTATCTTTGTTCTGAGAATCTGGCGAAGTTATTTAGGGACCGTGTATAATATTATGGAACTAGTCGAAGGAAAAGTTAATATTCTACGTGTGATTTTGTCTTTTTGAGGTTCCAGTATTTTTGAAAGAATTTAATAAGATTAAAAATGTTAAACTAAAAACGGGAGGGGGGAGGGAGGGGGATTGTTCAACGTCAACGAAATCGTGTAATAGCGATACGTACTTTTGGCGTCTATTAATCGTTCGCGTGGACTAAGATCCGAAGAGGATAGTTGCTCCTTCACCTTGGCTACGTCCTTCGGATGCAGAATATCGAACCAACTTTGACCCAACAGGTCACCCTGTACAACCACGAAAAATCCATTTATTAATTTTTATTTTCACGATACAAAATAAATAAATGTCAAGCTACAGTTTCGTTAAATAATCCCTAGAAGATGAACAGGTGAAAGGTGAGAAAGAATCGTAATTGATCTCGTTCGTGAGATACTGCGAAATAATTCACGAAACGATACTACTTTTATTAGAGATTTATTATGTACCATGTAATATGATATCTTAACGAATAAAAAGTATGACTAAAGTACAGTAAAAAACATAGCAAAAGAAATTGATGAACAATTAGAATATTAGTAAAAATAAAATACAGGTAAAAGAATAAAAGTATCAGTCTTGAAAGTATCTCTTGGAAATATTTTTTTTAAATTTTGAAAGCAGATTTCATAAAAATCTGCTGTATACTTCACACTTTATGTCTGCAGAGAATTTATTTTACTACGTGCATACTGTTTCTGTGTTAATATATAGGAAAGAAAGGACTGATTTCACTCGGCCCGCCAGTTTTTATTATCGGCGTGTATATCGAAGAAAGCAACGAACTGGGATACCTGAGAATAATTGAGTGTCTGCAGAACAGACTCGGATACGTAGAGAATTCTTCCACGATCACAGCCCACCACGAAGACAAAACCTTCCGCAGCCTGAAACAAGAGAAGCCGCCTTCGATTACGTCACCTAGATCAAACGTTAATTGCGATTACGCAATGAACGCCGTGGAAAATCGATGGACATTGTTATTGATAACTCTTTGAACTCTACTTTGAATTCACTGAATATAGAAAGGAGAGAGAGAGCTATCAGCGAGTTACATAGGTCGTAATTTTCGTTAAATGTGCTCGTCAACTTTCGTCGAAACTCTGCAAACGAAGCAACTAATTTTTATAAATTGCCTTGCAAAATGAAAAATTTTGTTGTCACTTTCTGAATGTTGTGATAAATTTGTGCGAATTAACATGTTAAATTAACTGTTGCGTCGACAAATATCGACAACAGACAATTGACAATTCTTTACGTTTACTTTGAATTTCCTAAATTCGAAAAAAATGTGCTTCTACATTTTACCGTGACAGTAATTAATTTTAGGAATAACATTAATTTAAAAATTTGAATATTAACATTGAATATAATATTGAAATATTAATTTAAATAAAATTAATGTTAATCTATTTAATAAATATTACTTATATCTAATCTCTACAATAATAATAATAATAATATATCTTTTTCAACTGGACAACTTGTCATTCGATTTCTTTCTTTTCTTTTCCAGTTCTACCACGTATTCGAACAGGATGTAAACTGGGTGTGCCGATACTTTGGAAATCTCACTGTGTAGAAATTTCGCTTCGCCGATCTAATCGATCTGATCGATAGTAAATTTCGGATCGAGCAGGAGTTGGATCACCTTGGGACTCGCCTCGAATCGCATGTAAATTGAATGTAAAATTTCGCGAGTATTTCGAATGTAAATCTTAACGTGGCGTTCTCGTAACGAGCGAACCGATTCGACTGTGCACGTAAGGGCGTACGTTAATGAATGCTGCATAGAATCCGAAGATATATCGTCAACCGGAGCTCGCAAACGCCGTGATTACGCAACGGCGACGCACTTAGTGGCTGGCTGACTTACCTGTCCGAGAGATTGACGATACGCGTACGAACATTGACGCGCTGTTACTCTCGCGGTTTACTTATCGCGATCGTACGATAGAGATCCGTGAGGCACGTAGTGCCTTCAAATCGCGAGTCGTACATGCCGAGCAAGTCCTATGTACCGAATGTTGTTTCGATCGACCCCGTTTCGTCGAATCTGCTTCCTTGTTCTCCCGTTGACGATTACACGCTGCTGCTCGCGTTAATAATTCGGGCAGCAAACGTTTGAATTGTAAATTAAATTGTAATTTAAATTTTGCGTGGAATGATTGTATTAGAGGTACTTGATAAGTAATGTCGTTTTCTTTATGCTGTGCAAAATTTTACTTCGTTCGAATTATTTTTTTCTTCTTTTTTTGACGGAAATTGTCGTCATTAGATAGCAGTGTTTATCCCTAATATATGAGAGTAGGTTCGTTTTCAGTTTTTAAAATTTTATTTCAAGATTTTTCTCT